TGAAAGCCAAAAGCGATCCGAAAGCCGTACAGTCGCAAAAGGATGGCGCACCAGTCCTGGATGGCCATCAAGCAGAGCCTTGGGTGGTCTCGACATCAGTACAGTACTCTTCCGTGGTGTTCTATAGGTGCTTAGCACTTAGAGGGTGCGGTTGGCGGCCTTTGGGATTCTAGGTCAGACATTTCCTTGCGCTTATCCTGAGCCTTGAGTGGCCCCTCAGCGCCAGATCACCTCGCGCAGTCCAGGAACGTACTGGCAGCTCTGGATGTGGAACAGCAGGAGGTGCTGGGGCCGGGGTTGGGGATGAAGCCGTGCCGGGTGAATAGGCTTGTGGTTATGAGTGAACTTTGGCGTTCATGGAGGTTCTGGCCGCGGACTAGTTTCGGGGTCTAGGGTTCAAGTCGAGGTTTCCAGCAACCCAATTTAGCTACCTTGTGCTCTAAAACTCTATTTCGGCAACCGGACGTCAGCGCCAGGTTCACTTCACGCGCCAGGAGATGTTGAACATGCTTGCTGAGACGGAAAGTGCCTCGCGTGCAGGTGGTATTGGGGAGCGACAAGAGTCTTTATCTATATATATATATATATATATCTATCTCTCTCTCTCTCTCTCTCTCTCTCTCTCTTTCTCTCTAGGAATAGTACAAAACACCCAGGCGCCTCCATTACACATGTCAGCTCAGACTTTGGTAGATGCTCTTCTCCCCCAAATAACCTTTACGTACCGCTTCGCAGTGGAGCGCGTCCATTCAAACGCTGAAGCCTGACTCGCCGAGCTTCATCGCGATGACGGAGAGGCTCCTGTACAAAATTTCTGGCCTCAGCCTCTTGAGCTCCCATATTTAGTAGCATGATGGGGTTTAGTTTAGTATATTATGTTTCCGATAAGGGACCTGACAGCAACCAACCCACAAACCCTCCTGAAAACAGAGTCTTAGACTCTTCCACTCCCTCCCACGCCCTGCTTCTGACGCCGAGGCCTTGGTGACGAGGCGAGCAGTGAGCCCAGATACTGGCGTACGGAGACTTGGCTAGCGTGTGTCTTAGACTTTGGCTGGCCTTGGGTCGTGCTGGTGAGTTTTCTGATTTTGGCATTGAGGGATTACGGGTTGTGGTGTACTGCCTGTTTCTTTCCTGAGGAACTGGAAGGTCGGGTTTCAACGGTTGAATTGAAAGTTGACCACCCTACCACCACGTACGTATCAGTATTACATACATTACTTTCTCCTCCCCTTTGACAACCTGCCTTACTCAAAAGGCCGCCTTCCTTCCACAACTATCAGGAGTGGCGGGCTCCGATGTTTTCATCCACGATCAAGGCCTGGCAGGTTGTGGTGGTGGTTTCAGTGTTTCGGGGTCAGGGGTTTTCGAAGCTTCGATGGCAGTCATAGGAAGCCTTGCAAACACGTCACAGGCTGCTTTCAGGGGACAGCTCACTTCCTTCAGAATTCAGCTCGGAGCCCCTGATTCAGGAGATCCATGACGTGAGGTATGCCTTGTCCAACCTCGAGTACTCCATGTCGGTACATGGAAAGAACGGCGCCCCGAAGGCAGCTGCAGAACGGTTTAGGGTTCACAGTGGCAGGTTACCCCAGAGCCTTCACCCCAGCTTTTTGCTGTAGCGCCGTGGTAGCCGTGCAGGCCAAGTACGTCCAGCAGATTCTGAAGACCGGGTCCATGCCAAAGCCTGGGCCTCAGTCTGGTACATGGTACTTATCATGACTATGATTATGACTGTCATTGCTCGTTTCTCTGTGGTGCCCTGGGGGCACGTGTGCAAAGATTCGATGGCCCAGCTCGTGCTGGTTAGGTTCTGGAAACCCTTTGCTTCACGGACTCCCTCAGCTTGAAGCGTGCACCCGAAATCTTCGAAACATCATAAAGCTTGCAGAGAAAGCCTAGGTTTAAGCAACTTCTGTCGGAGAAGTTCGACGTGGTTTCTGAGCTCTTGGAGGTGCCTTCATGTTGCGCTTTTTTCGTTCGAGTGGCTTCGCATTGTTATTCTGCAGGTTGGAGGAGTGAGACTTATTGTCGGGGATTTGGCAGTGCTGTCTCCCCTCACAACCTGCGTTAAATGTCAGCCAGGACCCCGAGAACCCGGGATCGCCATTCCAATGAACCTTGCAGCGAATGAGTAGTTAGAGCTGCTAGCAGCCGACGGCGTAGTCGTTTTGAGATGCATGGTCCACCAAACCTACACTTCATTTGGGCGGGAGAGAACACCACTACCGACAGCAAATCTAATCCCCTGCTGAAGCGGGCATCTCGAGGTGAGAGGGTTTTGAGTGTGTGCATTCAACTGCTGAATGGATCCGGAGTTTCACCCGCATGGGCACGTGTCGATGTGACAAAGAACATGAGGAAGGTCCTGAAATGTCCCGAACCTTAAACCGGAACGTGCCTGGTGTCCGTAGCCTGGCACGGGAGAGCACTTTTGTGTCTTCGGTTCAAACTAGTTCTCGAAACCATGAAAGGCAGATGTCAGGGCCCGGGCATTAGACACTCGGAGCTCATCTCCACTTTGTGCCCAAGAGCGCGAGGTCTTTACACACGAGACCTGCACGAGATGGAGCGCCTTGGATGACAAGGCCAGTCCGAGTTGAGACCTGTGGCATGGCATGAGGTTCAGGATTTCGGCCTCAGTGCTTGCTTCCATGCCAGGCAGCTTACACGGACTTCCGGGAGGAGCAATGGCGCATCCAGAGCGCCGTGCTGACGGAGATGCACAGGGATGCTTGAACTCGTGATGCAATGTTGCAGCTTGTGGGTGAGCGCCCGTGACACTTCTCTTCAATCTCGCTTTGCTTGGCATGCTTGATGTTTCTTGGACCCCAAACGCCGTGGGCGAATCAGAAGCACATTGCAGCATGAACCCTGAGCCCGGAATGTGTCAGCCTCAAAGTTTTGTACCGACGCTCCGAAACTCGCCAGCCTTGTATCCTAGCCTCTTGACTAACTTGCAACTTCCCCAAATAGAGCTCCCAAACCCACAAAGGACCCTAAAGCACAGAACCAAATTTAGACAGCGAGGAGGCGATAGAGCTCCCGAACTTCCTTCGGAAGGAGGCAGGCTTTCGGGGCTTAGGGGGCCTCTTGCGACCCTTGCTGGCCCTGTGTGGGAGGTTCGGGTTTCGGAATTTCACGGGTTTCATGTTAACTCAGGGCCTCTGTCTCGTACAGGATTGTTGGGTTCAAGATTTTTAGTCATCTCATCAATTTGCCACCATCTCGGCCATCGCCGCCATTACCACTAGCATCATCACTACCATCACCACCGTTACAGCCATGACCACCATCATCACCATCATACCATTGTTGCGATCGCCACCATCGCCAACACCACCATCACTGAATTACCATCATCATCACTATCATCATTATCATCATCATGATCATCATGGTCATCATGATCACCATGATCACCATGATCATCATCATAATCAGCATCATGTGATGCCTTTGATTGCGCCGTCTTCAACTGTTGATAAACCCTCTGGCCAGCCATCGTAAAACCAGCCATCGTGAACCTGCAGCCGCAGCATTTAGCAAATTTAAATCCTAGATCCCAGAATCCTTCCATCAGCTTGAATCCTAATTTCCGGTTCAAACTCCCAAAAAGCTTTATACACTAAGCTTTATGCTCCAACAGAAGCACAGAGGTCCAGAAGAAGAGTGTTCACTGCAGCTAAGACGTATTCAAAGCCTTGGAAGACCCAGCATCGAAGCTTCAAAGCCAGGACGATCCGTTTTCACCCTGTTCCCTCGAATCCCCGGGCCCTGAAGTCCTTGAACTAGAAGATGTCAGGTAGACATACGACTAATAGCAGTATCAGCATGACGATAGTGATGGTATCGATCAGCATGGCATCACAGAGATCTCTACAGCGCGAGGTCCTCCTCCGGTCCGGGAGCGAACTTGCACGTGCGCGGGAGGGGGTCAAGAGCTTCCGTGAGCCTTGGGAGCATTTGATATACAGGATTATACAGGAGTTTCAGCCTCTGAGTGGTTTGCTGGTTAGCCGTTAGGATTTCGATATCGGGGCTTTCGGTGGCAATCTCTCCACAACGACGGCGGGGCACAGCAGCAGCAGCAGCAGCAGCAGCAGCAGCAGCAGCAGCAGCAGCAGTTGTTGCAGCAGTATTTGTGCATGGTCCGCGGCCATCCCTGGGATATTACAGATATGGTTGACATCACCATCGTGCCATTCGGTTCTGAGCCAGGACGATCCCTTGTGCCAGCTGTCGATTCTGCTGGCTTCCTGCGACGCGATGCTGCTGTCGGGTTGCTCAGAGGGCTCCGGGCAATGCCGAGTTTCTGGAGAAGGCTTGCTCACAAGGAGGCCTTAGACAAATGAAGGAAGCAGTATCCCTTAAACCCCAAACCTTCAACCCCAAAAAACTCTGATCTTTTTCAGGCTTCCCGTCGTCCTGAGCCCTAGGATCGACCCCAAAGTTCTCGCGAGTGGGAGTGGCTGCAGGTCGATGCGGCAGATTCAGCACCACATCTTGAGGCTCTACTGAGTCTACTGACGTAGCGCTGTCTTTCAAGCCACAGCCTACGGTAGGGCACCTGTGGACCCCATCGGCGGACCTTTTGGATTTCAGAGTGGCCGTTCATGTACAGGATGTAGTGGCAGTCGCTGGGCCGACTCGGCCTGATAACGAAAGGCGTTCCGACGCTGCGTTAACGCACTCGGCGCCCTTGCCCCGAAGTCTCCGGCCGGGCCGTTGTTGCCCGGACCTTGTGAGACACAGAGGACAAGAGTGCTGTCCTTTGATGCTGGCTAAACGAGCTGGCCATAGGACTAGGCTTTCCTGCGAAGGAAAAGCTTGAGTCAGCGAGCGTCAGCCGTCAGAGGTGGGGGATTGCTGAATGCCAGGCGCCCGCCCCAGCTCTTTGCAAACCCCCCAGACCCCCAGGCCCAAACTATAAGACCCAAAGCCTACGCCTGAACCCCAAACCCTAGATTTCCAAAACTCCTACACCCCAAACCGGCGAGGTTCCCGAGCCGAGCTTCGACCGCACCACCTTCAATGCCGGGGGCCCGAGGGGCCAAACGCATTCGGGGTTGAGGGTTCAAGGGTTCAGAATTTTGAAAAGTGGCCTGCGCCTCGTGTTCATGAGGAACTCCACTTTCCTCCTGCTGCTGCTGCTGCCAAAAAACTGTTCGGGAGGGGGTAAGGACATTGGTTTGTGAATAGGTAGTTCAAGTCTTTCGGCAAAAAAGTTAGGGACAATTGTAAACACTTACCGGTAAGGCGGCCTTGCATGTGCATGCCATGCTTGTGAACGGCATCACGGCACAAGATCCTATCGAAACAACCACTGTCAGCACAACCTACCAGCAACCGGTAGTTCACCTTAACAAAGTGATCTGAACTGAGAATCCGTTCTCGCTCCAAGCCCAAAAGCCAAAACTTCAGCCCCTGATTGCCCCCTGAATAAATTGCATCCCGAAATCTCACTTTCTGAATCGCTTGACCCTGGAACCCATGAGTCCCTGAATCGCTTAAGTCTGCCATCACCGCCTGCATTGACGGGAAGACCTGGAACACGGCTGTGTGGCTGCGGCGCCCTCGGCTGAGGCTTGAGGCTGCAGGGAACAGCGGCTGGCAGTAATCCTGTCAGAGTTGATCACGAAACTCATTGCGGGTAGTATTCGCTAGTCTTCGGCGGAGTTCTGATGTGAGATTCAGTCTGGGCTAAACCCTGGAGAGCACTCGCATCGAGGTTTGGGAGCCTCATCAAGGAGAGGCGCGTCAAGACTGTGTCTTCTTCTATATGTCGATCACGACTACTGCTAGCAATAACAGTAGTAATAGCAAGCAAGCATAGATAATGACAGGTGCTCGCAAAAGTAGTAGCATCAGCAGTAGCAGTGGCAGTGGCACTGGCAGTTCTGGTACTTTACTTTCTTGCCCCTGTTCCGCCGCAGCCTGAAGCCGGACCACGTGACTTTCACCGGCGCTGCCTGTGCATGCGCCATCGGAGGGGCCGGCCGCTGAGGGTCTGATTGGGGTGGTTGTCAAAATTATGGTCCCTTTTGGGTCCTTATTATAATACGGCACCTATTATTTAGGGTACCCCAAAAGGGACCCTAATTTTGACAACCACCCAGTTTTTCGGAAGTCAGTTGCCAATGGTCGTCTCTCGGCGTCAGTGTCTCGGAGAGCATCATTTACACATCGTATCTGCAGTGCTTGCACCGTCCTCTGTTTAGTTTTGTGTCCTAGAGCTTGACAGAATTTCGGAAGCCAGAGACCACCCGGGATGGCATCTTCGAATCGGCATGCGAATTCCCACAGTAGGATGCGGAACTTGGCCGATCTATTCTTACGAGCTTTTGACGTAGCCCCTATCAGCGAGCAGCGGCTTGGATTTCCAGCCTGAATCCATAAAGTAAGACCTTTTCAAAAACCGCTTAGAATGAAGCGCGTCGGAGGCCACTATGCGCAGGAGAACTTTTCTAACATTCGCATCCCTCGCGCCTGATGTCACCACGTCCCGTTGTCCCTATGGAGGCATGGAGGAGTACCCTGGAGCTGCTGTCTGTGCTTCCGCCGCCGATGCAAAAACGCCAGACGCCACAGTTCAGGGCGTTCCTTTCTTTGTGTGTTTGCAGGCCTTTCTTCCTGGTGAGCCATCACGCGAGCTTTTGCGGGGCAGAGGCTTTCAGCATAGTTTTTTTTAGGCTTCAGCGTGGTGGAGCCGAAGCACATTCTGGCAACCTAACCACCCAGGCCCATTATTTCAAGCCCGCCAGCCAGAAAACCCAAGCCCTTCACCCGAAACTTGTTGAATGCGAGTCGGGGCCCTCGATTTTTAGGACTAGGAAATAAATTTGATGATCGCCCGTGCCTGCAATAGTTCAAGGTTCCGTCCTGAACACAACCCAAGTAGTAGCACCAGGAAATGAGATCGGAGTTAGGCCCAGGAGCAGCCAGTCAGACTTGCAGTGCGGTTAGACTCGGGGTTTCTGTGCCGGCAAAACCGAACTCATTCCATTCAAACGTGCGGGGACACCACTCGCATTCGCGGCCTGGGAGCAGGCATCTAGCACAGCCGAATGAGATTTTGAATGCAAGAATCTAGGCCTTCCGAACTTATAACCACCATGTAAAAACGTCAGAAATTGGGAACTTATAATAGCCATCGCAAACATTGCAATTGTAGCGTGCGGCAGCTAGGAGAGGCTCCACAGAAAGATTCATGGACCAGTAGTGTATTAGAATTAAACCTAAAACCTAGCGTGATCAAACCCAAACCACAACTTGGCATTTTCCTGGTGCTTTTCGTTGTGCCTTTGCCTGTGCTGTTACAGGGACGGGGGGGTTCACCAACGCTGGCACCCAAACGCTGCAGGGGGGGGCATCCTGAAGCGTGGGATCGGCCCCTTTTTCTAATTAGTTTTGCAGCATGTCAGGACGTGAGATCTAAAGGAAGTCCCTCTTGGGCTTGGGGTTCGAGCCAAGCATTTCTTGGAGTGGCGCAGAGAAGCCTCCATCAGCTACATCCCTGCAAGCCAAGTGGCCCCAGCCTGAACACCTACGCGAGAATTTTGCGGCTGAAGTCGCGAGGCTTCGAGAAGCCGTAGATTGTAGTGGCAGACCGGCATGTGAGAAATGGCACGACTGCGAAAGAGCTGAAACGGTGTGTTTAACTGCATTCCTGCAGGGTGACGACAGCTCTACAAAATGATAATGCCAACGTAGATCCCCAAACACTGGGAAAACAAGCATGTAGACTCCGAAGATACCAAGACGACGCCGACGACCACGACCATCACATGACCACCACGACCGAGACGACCGAGACAACCACAGACAACCAGGACCTGCATGACCACGATGACCACGATGACCACGAACGCCACGAGCACCACGGACAGCACCGGCACCACCCCCACAATGAAGCTGGATGTGGACAGAAGGCGCCACCAACAAAATCCTCCTGGAATGCAGCCCTGCTAGGATTTAAGGCTCTTGCAGCTGGCGGGATATAGACCTCCACTGAACCAACCGGAGAGGCCGAATAGTGTGGCCTCGCCAGGGACTGTAAACACCAAGTCTTGGAATTTACGCTGCTTCGCGCGTCTCGGGCCGGGCTCTGGAAGCAATACGAAAGAACACCACGCCCCGGTGGGAGCTGCAGAAGCGCCTTGTCGCCATTGCTGGCACCTCGCGGTGGCCACTCCTGATTGGCTTTTAAGGAATGCAGTCCAGGGTGCATCACCAAACTGTTCGGGCAATTAGCAATAATGTTCCCTTATAGGGTTTTTACTGGAGCTAAGCAACAGGCCCAAAATCCCATGTTAAACAAATATCGCGGCCGCTTTAAACACCCGTGATGCGAGGTCGAGCAGGCTCCCGGCTTAACGAATTGACACGCAGCATCGTCTACAAAGATCGGCTTGGGGAGGAAGACGATGAAAGGACTCGTTTCCGAAAATTAGGGGTACCTTATTTGGGGGTCCTTATAATAAGGATCCTATTATTTAGGGTACTATGTTAGGGTCCCCTATTTGGCTCTGGGGTTTGGCGCTATTGGTTCTTTCGTTTGCTGCACTACATGGTGGTTTCTACACGTACTAGGTATATGACTTACGGCATTATATTAGTGGCTGCGCGAGTTTCAACATGAGTATTGCTCCAAAACTTTTATTCATCGTTGTTGCTATCATCATCATCATCATCAGCAGCATCATCATCATCATCATCATCATGTGTGCTCGTTGCTGCCAGTGATGCTCGTGTTTGTCTTGTGACGCTGCTGGCAAAATAATTCCTCTTCTCTTCTTGTTCTTCTAACTTTTGCTGTTGCTAGTATTCGTAGCATTGACAATACTATCATAATAACTGCTGTCCTTGTTGTGTTGTTGCGGTTGTTGTCGTTGTTTTCGTCGCCGTTGCTGTTGTTGTTCGTCTTCGTGATGGCAATGAACATGTTTGTCATGGTCTTAATGTTTACAACTATAACCACCATGGTTGTTGTTGCTGCTCATGTCAGCTGTTCCATCAACATCTTCTTATCCTCTTATCACTTATCATCTTGTCATCCTAGAGCCTAGGGCTCCAGCCACAGGGTCGGAGCATCAGGTTTTCTCATAGCCTTAATCTTCGGATCCGTGGTTGCCACTGACTTACGATCCTTTGAGAAGTCCTCGTTGACCTGTTGCCTCTGTCGCGGACTCTAGAATTCTAGACTTGTAGTCCCAAGCACCCCTCAATTCTCAGTCGACTGCAGGAGCCTCCATGTTCTCCGAACCTTTGAGGTGCATAAGGAACTCTCCAGGCTGCGGAAAGAAAGGCGTGCCAGCACGGGGAAGGGCGCAACGCATATGAAAGCAAAAAACAACGACCCATCGATGGATCGATGGACAGGTACATAGATTCATGATTTGGTTGACCGGTTGTTTGTTGCATTGGGTGGTTGATTGATTATTCGTTTGGTTGATTGGCTGATTGATTCTTTACTTGATTGTACATAGTATGTTTATATATATATATATATGTATGTATGTATATCTCAAATTGACTTTCGCTTTCATGACAGGGAGTCTGGTCGGACGCAGCCGTTGGCGTAGACGGGATTCTGTGTTTGGCCGCAAGCCTTTCTTGAAACCTGTCCTAGAGAAACCGCAAACCACAAGCCGCGAGAGTGCAAAACGACCAAAGCTACGTGGACCTCTAAACCCAACTTCAGAACTGAATGTATTTCCTGGGTCTAGAGGCTGGCATGTCAACAACCACGCAACTCGCGTAGGTACGTTCGGTATAGTGAGAACTGTGAAGACCTCAACCTTTGTTTCTTTTGTTGCAGTGTGTCTACATACATAACTATGTCATCTATACAGTAGGGTGCAGGGGCTTGTGATGAATAGTACTGGGTGACGCTGAGAGTCGTACTGTCCAGGCCGGTGATGCAAAGGAACGTGCGCGACAGGACCTGGACTTTCTTTCGATATTTGGCGCAGGAAGTGAGGGTACAAGATAAGGATATTAGGAATATGGGTAAGTGAGCATGGTGCTAGTAGTGCCCATGGTACGTGACCACGAGAGACATTCCTAACCATGAAGGGGTTTTGTCCTAACCACAAACATGTTCTCCCCTAACCATGCCAACATTTCTGTCCTAACCATTGCATCGGATTTGTCCTAACCCTTGATCGGATTTCCCTTAACCGCCTGCGCGCATTGTCATAATCGCGAAGAGTGGCAGTTGGTGCACTGCTTTCAGGCCTTACCAAGTCTTGCACGCATGTAAAACGTCGGGGGCTGCTGGGCTCGAGTTACAGCTCAGTGTGTGGCATGGCGAAGCCATGGATGCTCAACGATGAGTACAGAAAGGCATCCGAAATAAAGCATCCAGCACTAGTCCATCACCAACCAACAATTGCAGGATGTCCGGCTTGTTTACGTGCCTCCAGACGGTCGGTGCTTCTTCTGGGTCCTCCTCGTGGATGAGAAGACGAAGTGGCGGTTAGCAGAACGATGCAATGGTTGGCCAGTGGACGCAAGCCGGAAGCACCAAGAGGATCGCGGGTTGCTCAAGATTAAACTTCATCATTTTTCAACATGCCGTGACCGACTCGGGCAGGTGTGCGGGAGGTGTGCGCGGCACAGCCGTGAGGAGGTGTACGGCAGGTGAGCGCCGGGATGGGCCGCAAGAAAGGGTCCGGGATCCCGATGCAAGTTGCGGGCTCGGTTTTGTCACCGAGGAACTTGTGCGTGAGGAGGCGTCTGAGCTTTAGCTGCGGCTCCTAGGTTGTGTCAGAAGTGGATTCGGCTCTTCTGAGCCGCCGCCAAAGCCTTCCACCGAACAAGCTGGAGGCTGGGCAAGCAACCCGTTTTCGAAGACTTTGAGATGTTCCTGCGAGGATCTGCGCGTCGCCCTCTCGGCCCTTTTCGGTTTGCGTCTAGGTCTCTCCGTAGCGAGAGACCGAAAAGACGGCAGCAGGCTCCCGGATGAATCTCGCACTCGGTATAATCGGGGTCCGCTGTAGAGATACGCTTCCTTTCTGCAGCCCCGTCCTTCCATGAGCGCCCTAACATCCCAAACCTTTCAACTTAACCCCCTTAAAAAAAAAAACAAAACACATCTTGAACCAAAAAAGCGCGAGCAGCACAGCGGTCGCTGCAGGAAGGATTGCTCTTCGTGCCCGTTGTCTGCCCTAAACCCGGAACCCTGTTCGAGCGAAGGAGCCAGAGTGCGCCAGGCTCCTTCTTCGGTGGATGGATGCGCGCCGTTGGAGAGAAAAACCTGCAAACGGCTAGAAAAAAACAGAACGCAGTTGAGATGTCGTGTTTTTAACGTGGTTAAAAAAATATGCCACGTGACCACTGCATACCCCGAGGAAGCGCTAAGCCTTCATTCCTCAGTACCAGGACCTCCGGAGTACTCGATGCTGCGCTTCAGAGTTGTGCACAGGTGGGGGGGCTTGGTATAATCTTCTCGGGTTCAGGGTTCGCATTGATGTTCAGGGTTCAGCCTTTGGTGGCTTTTCGAGTGGCTTTAGATTCCTGACATTTGAAACCCGTTTTTCCTTCCCGTAGGGGCGCTGATCCTTGCAAAAGCCCCCGCCTGAACCGCCGAATGCACTGAACCCTCAGCCCTCGACATGTCTGGGCGTTTGTTAATGTCGAGCATCGAAGCTTCGGTAAGGATCCCAGAATCTGCCGGGAAGGAACATGTTAGCAGTGTATATGGGGAAGCTTGGCACCCTCGGCTTGATCTGTTCAAAGCCCAAATCTCAGCTGCCTTAGGCTTCAGCCGCTTCCAAGTCAAAGCCTCGTGTGGCCCGAAACCCCGAAAGGGACAGCTCCGTTCTTTTCCCTCTATTGTTGCTGCTCGAGGCTTCTTCCTGGGAGCCGGCGTTGCAGATGGCACCTGGGCCGGGATGCAACTGCCAGGAACAGCTCTCATAAGGGTTGGTGCAGGGTTTAGGGTTTAGGGCGAGGACTTAGGGCTCGGGTCAGTGCCAAGAAAACACAACAAGAATTGGCAATGTGAAGGGCAATGACAACGATCAATAGTTGCCATATAAACAGTACCAGACCCATGCAAGAATGAAGACATAGTCGTAGCAATACCGGCGCCGATGTCGATGCCAGTACGAACGCTACAAGTAAGTAGGACAGCAAGGAACAGCAAGTGTAAGCATGGTAGCGGCAAAAAGATAGAAATGGCATATGAACGCGAGGTCGTGCTGTTGGCATTGCTGAGCTTCACACGAACACCTTCGCTGTTCTAGAATGCGAAATTGTGCCGCTAGTGTTCCTGCTGTTATTCCTCTACTGGTACGACTCCCGCACCAACACGTTGGTTACTGCACCCACCGCGTATGTTGGCACTGAGAAGTTACTCCTGGACTTTCGCTCAGTTCTTCGGTTATTCGCAACTATGCCCTTTAATTCCAGTCCTCCCGGTCCTATTGTGGATTTCTGCTATAGCTGTACTCTTGGCTAGTACCGATAGTTTCTATTGATAATGTTGAAGATGACGAATTCAGTCCATCGATTTGGGTGAGCTCTGAAAGTGCTTGCGGAGCAAGAGTTCTGTGTGTACGGGGGCATCTGTGGATAGCCCTGTGTCGTGCAATTTAGGGGTGTCAACTTCACGATTTGGTCGGACCGTGTGTAGTGGTGTGCCAGCTAGCAGCGACATGGGTATTGGTGATGGCCAGGCCACGGTGGCAGCTCTGAAGGTGGTTCGTGGTGGTCGCGGTGTCGTTCGATCTCTCAAACCTAAATCCTAGACTTACGCCTGAAGCCGTTCCGCAGCGCCCAGGTACGGCGGGCAGAGCGATTTGACATCACTGGCCGGAAGCTCGCAGTTCCTGGGGCTGCTCAGCTGTCCCAAACCGTCATGCTATGAAAACCGTACTTGTAGACCTCAAAAGTAGATTCCGGATTCTAGTCTCTGCCGAACCCACTAGTCTACCACCCCGCCGGCAGAGCTTGAATGTCCTTTGGACTTTGGTTCCGATGCCAGCTTGAAGCCCACCACCCGAGTTCTACACCCTGGCATTGCAGGGAACCCGCATTCCCAAGGGCCCCCTGCCGAGGTCTCTCCCTGCAGAGGTGCAACTCCATAACGTCCTCCTGCCTCCGCAGAGCTGCCCCCAGAGCCGGGGGGAAGCCGGCAAGGAGTTGAGCTTATGATAGCAGTGAAATTTAAAAGCAAAAAGTTCGTAGCAAAGACGAATCAGTGCCTTCCGCCATGAGTTGCGGATGCCGGATTCACGGTTTGGTTGTCTTTGGGGTTTGAGGATCTGACAGAAGGGGTTGAAAAACCAATCTAAGGTTCTGGGCTTGTTGTCACGTCTGAGTCTTGGGTCTATTCTGTTACTGACGACGATGACATTCTCATACTGCATGCGGTCGCAGTTTCTGCCTAGGTTTATTATCGGCTAATTAAGCCGTCAGTACATCCAATCCGATAAGCTGTTTGTCTTGTCAAGCTTTCACACCCCAAACGCCCTAAGCCCATACAACCCTGAAGCCCTAAACCCCGAAACCCCAAAGCCTGAAGCCCTAAACGCTGAAACCCCAAACCTTGAAGCCCTAAAACCCCAAACCTTGAAGCCCATGTTTCTTGAAACCCCAAACCCTGAAACCCCAAGCCCTGCTTCAGCGCTCGACCAAGACCATCTCTGGCACTGGGGCCTGGTACTGCTCGGCCGGGGGGCCCTACGTTCCGGGAGGGTTTAGGGTGCCTCAATATAAGTTATCTAAGACATATAAGTATAGTATGCTCTAGTATCGTATAGTAGTACAGTACAGTATAGCATAGCATAGGATAGTATAGTATAGCATAGCATAACATAGGATGGTATAGTATAGTATAGTATAGTATAGTATAGTATAGTATAGTATAGTATAGTATAGTATAATATAGTATAGTATAGTATAATATAGTATAGTATAGTATAGTTTAATCCAGTATAAGATACTGTAATATAGTATAGTACAGTATAGTATAGTATCGTATACTATGTATGCACCTTCAAGGCTCGAGGTCAGCTCCAAAAATCCGTGCCCGAGCTCTTCGATACAACGCTTTGAGCCCCCCGAGAGAGCGGACTTGGAGTACTAGTAATGTAGGGCCCTTTAATGATTAGAATAGGCTTCCTTTTAAAGGGTTACTATGAGCATCACAAAACGCACGGGTGTATGCTGACATTTGGGATATCTTGGAAGTCCTCATGCACCAAGCCCCGTAACACAAACCCGCATCCTCCAAGATCAACCTGAAATCTAAACCGCAGTACGAAATCTTTTTCATATAGAAGCCCAAAGAATTACCGATACTATTTTGGTGGCTCCTTAATAAATTACAGTATAATGGGACGCAAAAACCGTATTCTAAATATCAAGGTCCCTATTTAATTGCCAGCTACCAGCTCAGCACTACTGGAATCTTTGCGAAAGCGATAACTGTGAACATGGTGATGATGATGCTGATTGTTAATATTTTCAACATCCATATCTGCAGTTTTTGCCAAATATTCTGGCTGTTCTTCTGATTCTGAGTCTTCGAGCCCGGCGCCGTCTTAGGCCACGCTCGGCAGAGCGCCCTTCGCCCCGATGCGACCAGCGCCACCGCGGCCTTCTCGAGCTGTGAGACGGAGCAGCAATGGAAGGTGGGCCACCGGCTGGGGGTTTGAGCCCAGCCAGGGTTTTCGGAACTGAATCCTAGAAGAGAGGGGTTTTACAGGGGTGCTGATCGATAAGTGCTTAAGGAATATTGACTGTACAAGTGGGGGTGTCCCCGTGCGAGACTAGTACAACAAAGACCAAATCCAAGAATAAGACTGATAGAAGCATGGGCGAACATGCGGGCTGAGGGAGACTCGCACTTCGAGCAAATTCTAGCAGCAATAGCTAACTTACATATATCTACATGTAGCAATATGTTTCGTGCAAGAACAACAGGTTCTGCCATATCAAGCGTGGTGGCGGTGGATGTTGGCGGTTAGAGAGAGAGAGAGAGAGAGAGAGAGAGAGAGCGGTGTAGGGGGGCTTGCTCCCCTGCACCACAACCCTGTGGAAAGAAAGAGAGAGAGAGAGAGAGAGAGTGGTAGTCGTTGTAAGGAAGCGGGGCGGGAAGGCAGAAGAGGAGGTGGAGAACGAGGGGCCGTGTTGAGTACAATTTGGAAGCAAAGCCCCAGACTCCGACTGATAGCCGCTGATCCCCCTGGATACGGGATTCCCCTACTGTCGAGAGTCCCCGCAGCCCTGCCTCCGACCCAAACCGGAACCGCAGGGCTCAAGCTTTCGATGCCGAACGCTTCAACACTGAGCCCTTGGACCCCCGTAGACCTGCTAGGTGACTGCCATGATCTTGGAGAATTTGCAGGTGGGCCGCCACCTCAGCGGGAGTGTAGCAGATGATGCGTACTGAGTTTAGGGTCAGAAGCTCGTCTGCCCGTGCGGTCAACCTAGAACTGCAGTGAGAGCCGGTTCCAGGCCAAATGCCTCAGAGCGTTGAGAAAAGGGACAGTGCAGTCGCGGCATTTTGCAAGCGAAGAAGGAAGTGTGCGTCAAATACGCGAGAGCATGGTGATAGTTTTACTGGTAGGGCTGGCGGCTGCTAGTTGCGTATCTTCTCTTTGAAAATGGCTATACTGGTGATGAGCATCATGGTTTCAGTTTTGTATTCACAGCACTATCGTACTTAACGCCAACGGCTCACATGTAAGCAAACATGCAGTTATCAGCCGGAATCAACAATGACAAGAAGTAATTAAGGAATAAATCATTGAATGCATGTCAATAAACAAATACAATACAGAAACTAGTACAATACATAATTTATATATATATATATGTATATGTATGTATGTCTGCATGTGTATATATATATATATATATATCCACATATTTTTATATATACATACATACATACACACAGATAGATAGACAGATAGACAGATAGATAGATAGAAGGCAAGCATCTGCTTGCAACCAGAGAGCATAGCATGAGTGAAAGTCAGTGCATGAACAGCAGCCGTAGCAAAACAGCGAGTAAGCGGCCCTCCCAGGTGCGGAGGGGGGGATTGAGCCAGACTTGACGATGCTGAGCTCCGCCGCCACTTCGATGGAAAAAGGCGCACTCTGCGGAAACACGTGAAATCCATGGATTCGGGTCGAGGGTTGTAGCCTAGACTGCTTCCAAATGAGGTTGTTGCTCCCACCGCCGGCTTCTGGGAGAGATGTAACTAGGCCGTGCGTGCGAGACTTTGGCCAGCGTGCGAAGCAGCCAGCATGGAACACGGAAAGGGAGCCCCAATCCGGAAACCCGAAACCCTGAACCCTATACCAGAAACCCATAAGCTGCAACAACGCTACAGCCGCAAACCCAGCACTCCTCCCATACAGGCGGGCAGTGGAGCCGCTCCTTCCGCCTCCTGCGCCTCGCCAGCGCTGCGAGGTGCCCTGTTTTTGTTGTTTTTTTTTTTTGGGGGGGGCAGGCGGGTGGGTAGTTTTCTAGATTAGGTTCCCTTTTGGGGTCCTTGTTATTTTATAAGGGTGCCGAACTATATTGAGGACCTCAAAAGGAAGTCAAGGGGTCCAAAATGGGTTACCAACAGGGTTCGTCACATAGGAGTCTTAATAGTTGGAATAAGGGAGCATTGGTAGTTTTCGCGGCCTTTACGTTTATGGTCGAGGGCTTTCCGCCAACCGTAAACCTTCAGCCGGATACCATCAACATCCACGTAATGCTGTTATTCGTTTTGTTCGTAATGTTTTTAAATGTTACTGATAGTAGGCATGTTGCTACTACCACTGTCAGCAACACTGTCATTTTACTTATCATGACTGTTGCCTTCATTCTTACTGTCATCATTATGACTTTCATTTTTGGTAGTATTGTTATCATCATGTGGGCAGTTCTCTGAAGGAGGATCCCGTTCAGCATCGTCATTACAGGAGTGACATTTGCTTTTGAGCACGCCAGAGCAACCCTAGTTTCAATAGTTCCCCATGAATCTGATCTGTTTCTTAACTTGTTCTCAATATTGTTGTTGTATTCTCATTGCGATTGCCAATTTTTGCTTGCTTCCAGCAACAAGTACTGTTTCTGAAAGTCTTCGTTTCGTGAATTCACGTTTCTGAGGCTTTGCCTCTTCCTGCTGCCGCTGCTGCTGCTGAAGTGAATACTGAGAGTAGCATGGTCATTGCTTTAGCAATGCTGTAAGGTGGTCGTTGCTTTCATAATCATCATCATCATCGTCGCCTTCCTTCTGCTCTCCAGGTTTCAGCACAACCTTGTCAGCTACACAGCGGCAGTGGATGCCTGTGGCGCAGGCGCCGTGACTGATGTCCTACGAGTTCGCACCCGAAGCGGAACAACGAGGGGTTTCAGCTTGAACTTAGCGTTTAGGCTGAGGGTTTACAGATTGAGTGAAGGTCAGAGAACGGGCTTTCTGTCCTTTCAACCCACCCCGCGAGCCGCCTATGTCTAGGCCAAGCCCCCAAGTTATAGATTCCTGAGCCAATCCACGTCTAGTCTTTCAGGCGGCATCTGGAAGGATGCCAGGGAACTGCTGGCAGAGATGCGGCAGGTGGCACAGAGGTCGGAAGCAAAGAGCGTATATCCTGAGCTCCTCTGAACCGCAGGTAGCCGCATGGATTTCTCGACTCCAAGCCGGGGTTTGCGTGGAGGGGTGCTATGGCATGTCCCGGAACGGAGTGGGATTGGGATGCTCCTTGCTTGTGGGTCGACGCAGTGGCTGCATGGACGCCAAAGGAGGCATTCAGAACAGGCCTGTAAACTCAAGATGGCAACAGAGTGAGGCACAAACCCGCTCCTGGCAACAAGGCCCCAAACTCAACTGTGAACCCTAAGTTGCAAGTTCCAAAGCGCCAAGATCTCCGAAGTTCGAACCCAAAGGCCCAGTGTCATCACATACCACTCCATGCTCGACGCTCACGCGGCCAACGGCTGGCAGAGGGTGGGCCGGAAAGCTCTGGGGCTTTCTGGGTCAAGGGCCAGGCCTTGAAGTTGTCGAGGTAAGTGGAGCTTCGGATTTGCTTTTTTGTGCTTGGGTCCATCGCTGTCCACCTGCGCCCTCGACCCTCCTTGAAGGACTAAATCTGGAAGGCGAAAGCCAAAGCCCTATACACCCGAAACCTAGAGTATCCAGAGCAGCCAAGACTGACTGACCTCTCTTGGGTTTCTTACCCGAAACCCTAAACCGGAAAAAGGCGTTCAAAAAAACAAAACCCTAAACTCTTTTTTTTTTTTTTTTTCTTCTCCGCCAGGGCCTCGACGCCTTTCGCCTGATGCAGGGCGAAGGCCGAAGCATTGAGCCTTTGCGCGTCGGTCAGTATACGATAGTACATATAGTATATTAGTAGGGTCTTCATAATATTATTATTTTTTGATATATTATACCCGGCCTGCATTCCGGCAGACTTGGTGACGAACAGATACGGATCACACGCTGGGGCTGGGGTCAACGATAGCTGGCAACACCAGCAGTTATGCAATTAAGAACAAGAAGGGCAGCAACATGGTGAGGAGTGAAGTGGACTGCACTTGCCTGCGACACCTTGGTCCGATCCTGCTGGCAGTGTCTGGGCCCTGGTGCATGTGCTGCTGTGCTTTTTTGCGGGCGGGCCCCTGAACAATTTGCCAAGACCGAAGCCCCGCAATTCGGTCACCAGGACCTCGCCTTGTTTCCCCGAGGCGGTGCGACAGATGGGCTGCCGCGGCTGCTCTCGGATGTAAAAAGCAAGCTCGGAGCTCGGAAGAGCTGGCGTGCCGTTTTGAGTTTAAGCTGCTCCCGCCTGCCGCTGCCGCCAAACCAGGCGCGACTGGGATCTACGCGAACTGAGGCTGCGGAGAAGGATGCGTGGCAAAGCAAAACATATCGGGAAGGGGGAGGGGAGCCAGCGCCTTCAATCCTTGCCATGAGCCCAAGGAGTGTGAGGGTCAAGGCCGACAATATCTGGAATGATGTTGGCAAGACAAACGACACCTTTGGTGCGGTAGGTTTGGCAGGTTTTCGGCCCGTGAAACTCCAGGACATGAGTCTTTCTGAGATGTTCAGCTCTAGTTGGCCTTCAAAAGCATCTAAAACACACACGATACATGCACAGATTTAGATGTTCGTTCCATGGCGGCTCCACTCGAACCTATCGCCATGACCGGCGATTTCGGAGCCTCGATGGAGTACAGGCCGACCGCCCTGAGCCCCGAAGCGTCTGTATACTGGTTGAAAAAGAGTTCAGAAGCCTATAAAGGGAAGAAGCACTTCACGACGGAGTGGTGCGTGGTGCTCCTCACAGTCTCCCCATGAGCACCTCCTCCTCCTCCTCCTCCGCCTCCTCCTCCTCCTCCTCCTCCGCAATCAACCCCACCATCGTCGCTGTCCCAACCATCATCATCATCATCATCACCATCATCACCATCATCATCATCATCACCATCATCACCATCATCATCATCATCATCATCATCAGCATCATCATCACCGTCTCTGTCGCCTTCGTCATCAATATCATCATCACCATCATCAAGACCATCATCAGTACCATCTTCAACACCAACAACAATACCATCATCATCATCATCATCATCATCATCATCGTCATCATCATCATCATCATCACCATCATCATCACCATCATCAATACCATCATCAGTACCATCATCAGTACCATCATCAATACCAACAATACCATCATCATCATCATCATCATCATCCTCATCCTCATCGTCATCCTCATCATCATCATCATCATCATCACCATCATCGGCAATTTCAATTGCAGCTCCATCCTCAGGTTGTTGTATTCCTCCTCGCCCTCACGAAGTCTTGAGTACCACACCATGATGCCTTCACCCTGAATCCTCCCGAATCATCCACAAGCCCCTCTTCCCTCCAGAACCTACGGAGGCACATAATGGAGACAGCAGAGCTGCAAGAGGCACCGGGAGAGTAACGGCCATGGCAGTTTGACAAGCACCATCATGACAGTTCCATGAGTATCATCACAAGAGTTTCATGAATAATCATCATAGCAATCTCATGCACAATTGTTAAAACAGTCCCAGGAGTCATCAGAATTGTCATAACAAGACATTCTGAATTGTGAAGCGCATCCGACAAATATCGACCGACAGAGAGTACTGGCAATTCTGAATTGTAACGCACATCTTAAGCAATTTTCACAGCAAGAGTGCTGGCAATGCAACCAATGTTAAGCGAGATATCGTTCACCATTGCAACATGAAAGCTGGTTGAAGAGAAACTGTAGCTGCCATAGCCATGGGCATTCACGCTACATGTCTTCCATATGCGGCAGCATCAGAAGTCTTTTTAGATGTCGTGCTTGTGCGCTGGTTGTCGTCGGCTCCACGCTATGTGGTGCGTGCAGTTGAAGGCTGGAGCCTCCTCCTTTAAAGCCCATGTGCAGCAAAAGCCTGAACCATGGCTGCCGTGAGGCCCAAGGCATCCTGAGACGGCCTAGGGTCCCCTCAGCCCCGCGCCCCGAACTCCAAACAAGCCCGAAGGCCCTAAACCCTAAACCCTGAACCCTAAACCCTAAGAGGCGGGCTGCTTCGCACAGAAAAGGCCACTACACTTAAAAAGAAACCCAAACAAACCCGCAATCCCTCAACCCTAAACCCTTAACCCTAAACCCTAAACCCTGAACCCTCAACCCTGAACCCAAACAAACCCGAAGTCCCTCCCGAGCCAGGAAGCGGAGAGCGACTTCTTCGGCCTGCTGAAAGCCAAGGTCGGGGGCCGAAGGGTCTCCCAGGATTCTTCAGGAGGGTTGATTAGGGTTTAGGGTTTAGGGTTGGGCAGAAGGGTCTCCCGGGATTCTTCAAGAGGGTTGAGGAAGGTTTAATATTAGGGGCCTCAACAATGACCAATACTATTTTGGTGGGTTCCTGTTTTATAATTTATGACCATAGTATAGTATACACGAAAACCCTGTTCTAATTATTGAGGTCCCTATATTAGGCGGTTTAAGGTTTCATGTTTTCATTGCCTCCGCGGCTTTCACCTTGCCCTACAGTAAGCAGGGAGCCCTTTCGCTCCGGGCTCTTTGGTTTCGGACCTTCTTCTCCTGAGGCAATAGAGGTCTTGTGGCATGCATTGCGCTGCTAGGTTTTGGAACCTACCACAGAAACCTGACAGTTTTGACTATGCTTTGGTAGGCAGATTCGCAGCTTGTTTGCAGTTGCTAGAGGCCAGCCAGAGTTCAGAAGGGCTCATTCACACTAAGAGCTGCCACAGGGACACACTCTCGAGGCACTGCAGCCTGTGCTTCTATGAATCCACGAGACAAATCCCATAGAATGGAGTGTTGAGTTTTCTCCCTTCAGGTTCTAGGCTCAGAGACCTCCGAACTCCTTCGGGTGGGAGCCCACGGTGAGGAATCGTACCATGAACTCTTCGGGGTCGGAGTCGAAGACATGGCCATCCTGCAACTGACGCTAAAGGCTAAAGCCAGAAGCCCTTAACCTCAAATCTCGAAGCCCAGACGTCTCAAACCCGAACGCCTGGACTGTAAATAGCCCGAGGCCCCAAAGCCCTCAACCCAAATCCTAACTAACAACAGCAATTCTTCAAAAGTGCAGAAAGATGAAACCCTCAACCCTAAACCCCAAGCCCTATGTGTGCAGAAAAAGGAGCGTGCCCAAGAAAATCTGAGCCCTTGCTTTGACCATCGGGCCAGGAGCGCCTCGGGAAGGCCTCATATGGGAGCCGTTTTTTTGATGTTTTGTGCGTGTGGTTTAGGGGTTTAGGGGTTTAGGGGTTTAGGGATTTAGGGATTCAGGGCGAGTCATCGGGTTTAAGGACATTTGGGGTTTCAGGTGGAGGGTTCCGGGCTCTTGAGCTGTGCCAAGGGAGTCGCTGATTTCGTTTTCTGTTTGGATCCGGGGTTGTGGGGCAAAAGGACAGAGATGGTCCTACTGGGAAGAGGACGGATCCGGCAGAAGGAACAACATTGGAACCTACAGACTCCAGGTGGTGGTGGCAGCACAGCAAAACGAGTTGCCGGTGGTTGTGTGGGCAATAAGAGCGCAAGGAAGAGACAGCGCCAGGAGAATATTCTAACCCTTAAACCCGTAAACCTTAAATCCCTAACCCCTAAACCCTAACCCCTAAACCTTAAACCCTAAACCCCAAACCCTAAACCCTAACCCTTAAACCCTTAACCTGAAATCCCGAAACCCTAAACCCTTACCCCCTCAACCCCTAATAATGTGCCAGGAAAACTCGGAGCTGCTCTTAGAGGTGCATCGCCTGAGGGCGCAGCTCATCCAGGCCAGAAGCATCCCCCAAAAAAGGGAGGCCATCAAGGCAAGGTTTGGGGTTTAGGGTTTAGGGTTTAGGGTTTAGGGTTTAGGGAATTTAGGGGTTCCTTTAAAGGGTACTATAAGGGCCTTTACAGGGATCTATAGTGTTTTGGGGGAGGCTAGGACCCTGGAGTGATAACTATATATACCATAAAGGAGCCCCAAACTCTATTGAAATTATTAAGGCCCCTACATTATCTAGAGTGTTTTGGGTCTAGAGGTGTCGGTTATGGGGCTGAAGATTCGACGGTTTAGGGTTTAGGGAATTTAGGGGTTCCTTTAAAGGGTACTATAAGGGTTCCTTTACAGGGATCTATAGTGTTTTGGGTTTAGAGGTGTCGGTTATGGGGCTGAAGATTCCGAAGCCTCAAGCTCCATAGCCATACCCAAAGCCCTGTCAGATTTTTGATAAAAGCTGAAGCGAAACTTAAGACTTACAAAGGCCATAAGCCCCCCCCCAAATCCAATTCAACATCCCACAACGCAAAATGCCAGAACATCATCGGCTAAAGCTGTGGGCGGCACCGGCACATGTAACCGTCGCCCGTCGCCCTGCACGCATTTCGATGGCAGGAGCATTCAAGACGGCACGCGGCGTTTTGTAGTGCTCGTGTGTCCCAAACACCATGTATCCGAAACAGTAAACCAAGCAGCACCGCAGGAGCACCGCTTGATAGATACAGCCAGGTATCAAGACTTGATTCGACCATCGCAAAGCAGAGTCCCTTCCAAGTTGCCCATGCTTGAATGTTCAAGGGCACCTACAGACTGCATGAGTGGCTCGAAATGTACTATGTAATGTTGCAGAGATTCTCCTGCTAAATGGCGACATGGCCATGTATCGCAAATGACGCTGTTTGCATTGAAAGCATGCGAAAAGGAATCTGGTGCAGATGGTGGGGAGTGCACCATGATGACTGTTAGAACCCAACTAGTGAGCCTTCGAAGAGCGCAGGCCCAAGGTCTCGAGGAGAAGGTGAGCCGACTCGAGCGCTTGGAGCCCCGGGCAGTTTCTGCTTCAGGTCACTGGGCTTTCGGATTTGGGGCCTACCTCCTTCACGGGTTTGAAGGCCTAAGGGGCTTGAAGGCTTTTCGTGGGCTGTTTCAGGTTCAGGGGTTCGGGGCCGCTATGGCTTTGGTAACTTTGGTATCAAAGTTCAGTTCCTCCGAGCTCAGGGTGTCGGGTGCAGGGGAGAGGAGTTCTTTCGAGGTCCCTTGGGTGGTGTAGTTCGTTGCTGCTTTGGTCAGACTCCAAGGCCAGGAAGCTGGCTTGAAGGCGGAGATCGAGCGACTGCAGGCCGGCTACCACTAGTTTCGTGTCGCAGCTGGGAAGGTACGGCTTCGGGTTTCGGGAGGAGTGGGAATGCAGCTTGGATTGCAAAGCGTCCCTCAGTTGGCCGATGCTCCATGCTGCGGAGGGTGCTGGGGCAATGTTGACAAAGCTCTCACCCGTTTCCGGCCCCCCCCTGCCAACTTCCAGGTGGATCATGAAGCCAGCGAGCAGCGTGCCGAGGAGGACCTTGGAGACCTGGGCGGGTGTTGAAGCCTTCGGTACTGTCTGGCTGACTTTGTCCACGATAGGCGTGGAGTGGAACGGGTCCATCGTAGGGGGACTATCTGTCTGCAGGGAGGTTTGTGTGGTCGGTTGCTGCCGGCATTGTGTGTTTTTGTCTTGTGCCTGTTGCAGCCTGTGCCCGGTGCTTGTGTGCAACTCGTTTGCTCTAGTCGGGAAGCAGTGCAATGTTTCATTAGCCTTGCATTCTCACGCGTCCCAACCCACCCCGCCCCACGACACGCTCTGGAACTTGGGCCCCGGGAGTCTTGGCATTCACCCGTGCTTTGATGTGCGGTTTGCGATTCTGGCATAAAGTGTATGCCAACGTCTAGAAGCGATGATCCCTCCAACCTTGCTACTCAAGAAGCCTTGAATGAAGCTTTGGTGATAGACAGAGTGTAAAAGGCATAGCACTTAGTAAGAGTAACTGTATCAGTAACAACAAGACCATGGGAAGCAGTGATCGCAAACATGAGTCGTTGCTATATGTATGTGTTCATCCATATCTATGTTTGTATGTATATCTATATCTGCATCTTTCTCGTATCGGTATCTGTATCTGTATCGACATCGGCATCTATATCTATATATCTATCTCTATCTCTACCTATATGTATATCTAGGTCTATGTCTTCGTCAGTATCTAGAATCTGTATCTGTACATACATACATGCATCCATGCATACATGCATGCATACCTACATGCATACATGCATGCATGCGTACATACATACATGCATACATACACACATACATACATGAGTACATACCTACCTACCTGCGTACGTACGTACGTACGTACGTACGTACGTACTTACATACATAAATATACGGTGACAGTGCCAGCACTGGTATTAGCCTTGCTGGTTGTTACAGTAGTGGTACTGGTGACAGAAAAGTACTCTCTTCCAATATCGATACCAATACCAGCGCCAATGCCAGCAGCAACATAAAGAACAGCCGGCAGAGATGTTTGTAAAGCTATCACCATTGCCAGAAGCACTGCTCCTCCTGCTCCTGCTCTTGCTCCTGCTCCTCCTGCTGCTGCCACTGTCACTGCTGCTGCTGCCGCCGCCACCCCTACCACTCCAACTGCCACTACCACTGCGCCACTGCTACTGCTGTTACTGTTATGACTATCGGTACTATTATTGCTGCTGTCGCTGCTATTATCGGTACCAAAATTGTGGCAATTATACTAGGCACAACTGTTATGACTACAGCAGGACCTTAGAAAGTTGAAAGATTCTCCAGGAGAGTTGTGGCTCAAAAAGCCATCAGCTTCGGTGAGAATGTTGGAGTTGTACTTCTTCACAGACCGGGCAACCACGAAAGACGTGGTGCTTTTGCCCGCGCTGTGCCATGACATCGCTCTTTTCTCCATTGCTTTGCAGCTGGTGCTCCTCGTGCTGATCCTGTTGTACCTGTTGTTCAAGGCTTTGTTGGAGCGCGTTGTGATGATGTCGCGAGCGAGGAGCGCTGAATTGGAGGAGGCCGCGCAGGAGCAGGAGCCGAAGTCCAGGATTGAGCTGCAGCCGCCGAGCAAATGTCTGCAGTTTGGCATCAAGTGGGATCCAGACCTTCGATATATGATCAGCACTCTCAAGGCGGAAGGTGAAGAAGGCCTTACGCGATTTCTGGAGAATCAGGTCTTTGTGTGGAAGCTGCGGAGCTATATACGCAACAAGGTCTCCAAGGCTTTCAAGATGAGTATCAAGAGAGACATGATACGGCTACGGCAACAGAGGCAACTTCGCGAAAGGACAGCGCAGAAGACCCCGGAGCAGGAGACGCAAGACCGGCATGCTCTGCTAGAGCTCTTTGGGCCAGCGCACCAACCGGCGACTGCTGCTCAAACACCTCTGGTGCAAGAGCAGGCGCCCGTGATTCAGGAAGCCCCGGAGCAGCCAGCGGCTTCTGTTGGGCCATCGGTTGTAGAAGAGGAGGCAGAGAAGCCCGACCCGTTTTTGAAGATGCTCATTGCGACATCACAGAGAAAGCTCCTGGACCCCCGGATGTCACCAGCGGATGCTGCTGCCGGTTCCTCCATGAAACCGGAGCGACCTCCAAGCAGTTGGACGAAAATACCACAGCCAGAGCTGCAACCCATGGAGGCAGAAACATCGGAGGCCTTTGGGCAGGTGCTCATTGAAGCTTCCCGGAACAAGCCAATCGATGCTCACATGTCCCCCGGGGATGTTGTAGCCACGGCATCGATAACAGGAGAGAAAATCCCACATGAAGCACCCCAAACTGCAGCAATGGCGTGCATGATGACAGCAAAGCAGCCCGTGGAAACAGAAGCACCGTTTGGCTGCCCAACACTCTTTGAGACCTCGCAGACGAGGCGACTTGACGCACAGCTGTCACCGGAAGATGCCGCTGCTCTGGCCTGCCTGATGGCGGAGGAACTAGTGAGCAACTCCGAAACCCATGCAGAAGTGCCGTCAGCAGCAGGCAGCTCGTGCGACACCGATGGTTGGGAAGGTGAGGACTTCTTTGCACACATCGACCCAAGCCTCCCACCAGAGCTGGCAGCAGTCAAGCTGTTTGCAGCAATGGGAATCTCAGAAGATCTTATGCTCGGCAGATTTGCTCCTGTCACGCACACCAACACCATGGAAAGCGAGGATCCCTTCAAAGACTTTTGGGACGATTTGGATGGCAACATGTCGCCAGAACTGGTGGCGGCTAACCTCGTGAACAGGGCCCGGTCCATAAGGGCCTACTGAAAGATGCGAGTAGTGCAAGTGCCAAAGTGCACTGAACAGCCTGCATGTAAAGCCGTCAAGGTTTGGCATGAGAAGGTCATGCCGCTTGACTGCTGACGGTTGGTTGGCACGTACTGCTCAAGATCTTTATGCTGCATGGCGTTGGATGGCATCCATGCTTCGAGTGTCAGGATAGAATCTCGACCATCAGGCAGTTTGACCCCGAACGTCGAGCCAGTCCCATAAAAACCTTAAGCCCTAAAGACGCGTTGCCGTAAATCCTATGTCGTACCGAAAGCTTCGCCGTCCTCCTGACGTCTGACGGTTTGTCAGATGCAAGCCCTGCAGCTCGGCATCTCTGAGAACAGTTAGGATTTAGGGCTTTTGGGGGGTCGAGGGCCTCAGGGTTCTTAGGATTCACAGTAACTGGGCTTTGGGATTTAAGGTTTATGGATTTCTCATTGATGCACAGCTTCAAGCGCACGGAGTCTGCCGAGCCCTGCGGACAAAGCAGCCCGACTGCGAGCGCGCATCTCTTGCAACCCAAAACCCCGAACCCTAATGAGAGGGTCCAGTATGAACCCTACAAGGCCCACCAAAAAGCCCTACGCACACCCTCGCCCACACCCTCACCCTCATGCCCAGGCCCATGGACCCCAAACCCCGCAGCCTAAATTTTTGGCCGTAGACACGCCTGTCAACTGTAAAGATCCCTGCACCGGCCTGAAGCCTAAACCCCAAATCGAAATCCTAAACCCTAAACCCTAAACCCTAAACCGTAAACCCTACGCCCCAAGTCGAAATCCAAAGCCCTTAAGCCCTTCCGCCTGGCATCGCCTGGCCTACTGGCCTTCTTTGGAAGGCCTGCGGGGACTCTGAGCGAATTGGAGCTAAACCCAACTTGGAGGATCATGGGACTTAGTAACTAAGGTTATAAAGCCCTTTATTGGGGCTATAAGTAAATATAAGTATAGTTACCTTAATTATAACCCTACTTACTAAGTCCCATGATCCTTTAAGTGCTTTCAACGATTGTCAGGAGAGACTTCGCGCTTCGAGCCGGGATCTAAACGAAGAGAGGGAGGCTTAGGGCCGTTTTTGTAACTTGCACATGGCAGCGGTCTGAGCTCTTTTTTTTGGGGGAAGGTTCAGAGTTTAATGTAGGGGCCTAAAGAATTTTACCAATCTTATTTTTGGGGGTTCCTTATTATAACTGTAGTATAATGGGCCCCAAAATGCCATTCTATTTATTAAGGCCCCTGTACTAAACACTTACAGCCCTTGTAGTCGCCCTTTAAAGGAGCCCTATTCTAATTCTTAAGGCACCCCTATATTTTAGAGCCTAGATCCAAACTAAGGCCCCTAAATTCAAACCCCTGGGTGTTTTTTTGCCTTCACGGTAGAGGCTGGTCAGGGCCGGGCTTGAGGAGTCAGAGCTCTGAGAACCTGGCCCAGGCTTAGAGCCCTACTACGGTGTGGGGTTTGGCATTCAGGGTTTAGGGTTTTATTATTGAAGATTTGGGATTTAGGGTTTAGGGTTGGGGATTTAGGGTTTAGGGGACTAGAGCCCTACCTCGGAAGCTATCCTGAGCGGTGTTTGTCGCGTCCTATGAGGCTTCAGTGAGCAGCTCAGCGTGGCGAAAGCTCGAGAGGCCCGGGAAGGTTGGGGGGTAGAGGCAGATCGTTGCAACGAGGATCCTACTGTTTGGTATTCAGGCTTTCTATGTATCAGGGTCGCATGGCTTTCTGAAGCTAGGGTTTAAGGATGGTTCATGTTTAAAAACTGGAGCCTGGAGCGCTTTTGTATTGGAGGTCTGGCAAGTGAGTTGTGGGCATTCAGTTGCGTGATGGTGTTCTATTGGTAACCTAGAGCTCTGCTAGGACCAATGGCAAGATAACCTTACCCGCGCCCTGTTGTAAATGTTGCTTTCTTTCACCAGCCTCTTGGCGAATTGGCAAATTCCGGAGAGAGTGCATCAACCTTGGTTGCAGCTACTCCAAAGAGAGACTCCACCTGTGGAATCTTGGCAAGATTTCAGGAGCCTTCTTTGAGGGAGCTATGATAATCAGTCTGCAAGGAAAAATGGGCCAACAGTGGGTTAAGCACCCGTCCGTTTTTAAGCGACGCGCCGGGCCAGAGGAAGAGCTCCTCAAGCAAGAGCTCGCGAAGACCAAGGAGTTCAGGCGAGGACCGGGTTCTGTTTCCTGAATTTTGGAGAAGTACTTTGAAACCTGGAACCGAAGACGAGGTCTTAAACCATTTGTCCCGTCCCCCCCGATCGAGAAAAGCCCAGGCAAACGACCAACATGTACCAGGGTCCATCCGAAGTCGCGATCCGCACTCCAAGAGCAGGTTTCCATAAATGAATAGTTAGCGCCTCCTTCGCTCTCAGAATGAGAGCACCACTCCATGAATAGTAGCAACATCACACATGTTCACAGTATCCCACCGTTAGAATGAGAAGCATTATTGTTACCATAGCAGCAACTGCTGTTCCTGACTTCAATCAATCTGCTTCGGGTAACGAACTCCCAGAAGTCCCTAGCAAAGCTTGGCCAGGGAGCGGGTGGAGCAAGCCAAAGTCGACGACATGAAACTCCTGGCGCGCCTGTCTGTGTGCTTTGGAAGTGTTCTGTGCATAGATGTGCACATCATCCCAGTGCAGTAGGGGGAGCCCTACACTATGCCTGAACGGTAAAACCCTTAGCAGATACTGCTTCGAAGTGTGACGTGTAGAAGGAGGATTGAGAGTTGCATTCAGCTGCCATATAGAAGGGGCCGTCAGTAGGCGTTGTCCGTCTTGGGCACAACCAGCGGCTTGGATTTCAAGGCTCAGAAATCTTTGGCTCCAGTTTTATATTTTGGCACCACTGGTACGTGCACAAAACGAGGGCGAGCTGGAAGGAGGGATGCCAGTCGTCGTGGTTGTCGTTGCCGTCGTTTGAAACTCCACGGCATCAGGTGTGTGACACTCGTCAGGAGGCCAGTAGCAGAGCCGCATGCACAGCGCGAGACTCGCCACCAGGCTTTGAAGGCCAAGCTCGCGGCACAGGAGGAACAGTGCCAGGAGGCAGGTCTCCAGACTTTCCAAGCCCGTGAGGTCAACTCTGGGTTCGGGTTTGAGGTTTAGGGAGACTAGTAGTAGTAGTAGTAGTAGTAGTAGTAGTAGTAGTAGTAAAAGTAGTAGTAGTGGTGGTGGTAGCAGTAGTATTAGTAGTATCAGTGCGCTTCATGTCGGCGGGTCGCAGGGGTGGTGTTCACGAACTTCTTGACAAATCTGTTTGCAAGTCAGCGTCATCAGGCTCGTTGTCGTGGCCATTATGAGATGGTTTCGTTGGCGGTTGTCGCTTGCTATTGACTGCAATTGTTGCTATGGGTATCAAGTCTTGTCTTAACATTACCGTGACCATTATTAGCAACACTGATCAGTGCTGCTAGCGTTACTTGCTGCTGCTAGCGTTACTTGCTGCTGCTGCTGCTGCTGCTGCTGCTGCTGCCACGAATAAACTACGGCTATTACTATGGCAAAATAATTAGTGCTCGTGTTGACGGTAGTTGCAATGATGATGGTACTTGCAATAGTGATGTCGATGGCAATGTTAACTTAAACGGCGACGAAGAGAAAGAGTCTCAACTGCATTTTCAGCATCCGTGTGTATTTTTTTTTATCATTGTCATTGCTAGTATGCTAAGTATGATGTCCATGTTTGTTCTTCATCGCTGCGGTTGTCTGCAGGCTTGTCCTTAAGCTTGCTCCTCTACTGCCCACCACCGGAACTTGCATTGAATCCTACATCTGCCTCGAGGCCATCGACAAGCTGGAAAAGGCCGAGAAGGTGGGACTGTTTCTTGCACCGCTACGGATTGAAAGCCAAATTACAATAACAAGAATAGTCTTGGTAGTATAGAGGATGACATCAGTCAGAGCCAGCAGCAACATAGTCATCGCGGGCTTGCTACAACAAAACGGCGACCGAGAAGAATCACCGCCATCATCTCCAGCAGCACCAGCAACAACACCAACACCACAGACAGCAACCCCTGGGGGTTAGAATGCTGCAATGCGGGGTTAGCCCAGCAACAGCAATGCCAATAACAACACCAGCAGCAGCAACATCAACCACAACCTCAGCCACAACCACAACCACCACAACAACCACAACACCATCAACTAGAAGAGTAAGAAAAGTTATAATAAGAAGAAGTCGCAGAAGAATAAGAATAATATGAATAGTAATAAGAATAATCAGACGAATAAGAAGAATATATAATAAGTATAATAAGAATAATATTAAGAAGAAGAATGAGAAGAATAAGAATAATATGATGAAGAAGATGAAGAAGATGAAGACGATTAAGCAGATAAATAATAATCAGAAAAAGAATAATAGTAAGAAGACCAAAAATTACGAAGACGAAGAAGAAGACAATAATAATAATAGCAATCATAATAATGGGAAGAATAAGAAGAATACTAACAACAAAGCGACGCCAACGACTGCTGCAAGCAGAGTAACCAGAAGCGGAATTTACAGCCAGAACCAATTCAAAGTGCATGCCAGAGCTGGGTGCCTGAGTGGTTCCGGAGAACCGGACTGCCTACATCCGATCTGAGCATTTATTTCATGCAGCCAGGTTTTTTATGGATTGCTTTAACCGCACAAGCCCTAAGCCGCAAATCCCCTGGCCCTACATGTCAGAACCACACCCGGTAGCAGCGGCAACAACACCAACAGCAACATGACCAACAGGCGTAACACTTCTAAACTACTACAAAACAAGAAACAGTGGCTATACTCACGAAGCAATACCAAGCACGGTAACCGCCTGGTGACTGCTGCTTTCCGCGATCCTCCAGACCCCAAGCAGCACCCAAAGTCCAACAACTCAAAACTAAATTGCCGTAGCTAAGCCACCATGACCTTCATCCTGAATCACCGCAATCTGCTCAAGTCCCAAAGCCAAAGCCACATAAGGTGGAAGCCTTAAACCTTAAACCCCCAACCAGCAATCAGCGGGCTTTTGGGCCAGGTCCGGATGGATCTAATGCGGAAGCTGCAGGAGACCGATCTGATGTTAGGGATCGTTTGTGCTCTTGCCACAAGGTTGATTATTTTTTGTGTGTTTTGCTTTAGATCGCAATAGGTCGCGATGTTTTGTTTGCTATGGGCTGTTTCCAGAGGGTGCTTTGGAGGACAGGGCGTCAGCTTCTGCCCTGTCCAAATGCCGCCTCAGCTAGACGATTCAAACGACTGCGGATCCACTGCTTGCCTTCTACCTGCGCAAGTGGTCTATGTAAGACCAACTAGTGAAACTCGTGTCTCCCTGTCGGTATGTGCACTGTTCAGATGCCGGATGCCACCTGCTTCTTCGCCCCCTGTGCTCTCCTCTGGCACGGATTCTGGAAAAATCGCTGAAGAGGCGGTCGATCCCTCTCTTACGTCAAGCGAATGGCAGCCTGAAATCCTCAACATCTCGTTATCGGCTAACTGGGGCCCTCGGCCTCTGAGGACGGTTGGTCCGATGGTAGTCACTGCTCATGATGCGTTTCCAGCACTTGCGGGACTTGTCATCCTCTTGATGGCAAGTTCTGTCTGCCAGTAAAAAGAGAAGCTCTGACGTTTGACACGCTGCTTGTTGCAGTTTTTCGACGAGTGTCTCATGCGTGGACGGACGGCTGGAGAAGGGAAGAGAAACCTGTCATTCTCGGTGAAATCCTACTCATCGACGACTCAACTGTGCGGCTGTTGGCATTTCTACGGAGGGGATCAGCAGTCTAGACGAAGGTCGTGTTGGTTGTATTGGTGAGGAGAGGAGAGGGGAGAAGGATGAAAGGCTTCCTGCACTCGAGTCTCGAAGTATTTCTGAAAGCAGCCAACAGTTTGGACACATCAAAATTTTCAGCCATACAGAATATGCCCCTTCACCACGAAATCCGGAGGAGCGCAATGGAGAAATTGAAAAGCTTCGGCAGGAGCTGAAGGCCACCTGGTGCTTTTGCGTGACAGAACCGGATGCTTTAATTACGGTCGATGATGAGGGTGTTGATGATAATGATAGTGATCATGACACTGATGATGTTGCTGGTAATGATGCTGATGGTGACAACGATGACGACGAAGGTGAAGGTGAAAGCAGCGTCAATGTTCATAGCAGTAGTTCCATCACCAACATTAGTTATGGCAGTAAAAATTAGCGTAATACCAATCCAGCACTGATCGTAATGATCATGAATGAATGGCAGTAGTAGTAACGATAGTAACAGCAAGCTACTAGTCCTAGTAAAATACTTACGTTGGTGATGTCATGATCATCGGTATAGGGGATTGCAGCTGCAATGCTGAGAGATGAACATGTTGAGGCTGCTGCTGCTGCTGCCGCCGCTGCTGCTCTTTCTCGTTGCTAGTATGACCAGCAACATCATTATCATCATCGTCGTTGTTGAGAAGAGCACTGGCGGTGATGGTTCCAGGAACCACCATACCGCTCTTCGAAAAGCTGATAACAAAGACTGGTAGTACGAGTAAAACGAGTACAGGGAGAACACGTGGAACTTCACTGAGGAGGCTTGTATGTCTGGGGCTTAGGGACCACGATTTGGGGATTTTGGTCCCAGGGCTAGTCCTTGGAACACTCCATGTTAACGTGGTCGGGATTTAGTTTATCGTTTAGGATGCTCCAGTGGCACCACCCTGCAATGGACGCCGTTCCAGGCTCTGGTCTTTAAGATTCTAGCTATTCTTGGATGCCCAGTTCCGGGCGATCTTAGCCTTTCCAGCTCAGGATCTGTGCTTAACGCGTTTAGGCGTCATCAGCGCTTGGGCTTGGGTGCTTAGGGATTCGGTGGGCTTTGCGCTGCGCATCCCTCCAGCCATGGCGAAGAAGGCTGTTCAAAAAGCCCCAGAGCTGATGGTTATCGGAGCCGGCTGGGGAAGGACTGCACTCAGCACCTCTGCTCTTTTGTTGTTGGTACTTGTGTGAGCATTGCTGTGATTCATGCTGTGGTTGTGATTTCCATTCAGCTATGATGACTAGGATTCGGCTCATGTTCGTGTTCGTCATCGTCACGACTAGATATACGGGCACTGTAACGTTTTTGGGCGTTACGATTGCTACAAGGTGTGTGTGTGTGTGTACGAAGCCTCCAAGCGGTCTTGGAGGTAAAAATCTACCAACACCCGCGTCTCGCGGCCCAAGCACTCACAATTTTACTTCCCCGAAAACCTGAAACTCCCAGGGCCTTGTTTGGGAGATTCGGTTCCGGAAAACTGTTCAACGGTTTGGGGATTCGGGTTTGCGGCTTAGGTTTTCAGGCTCTGAGGGTTCAGGGCCAGGCTTTATTTACGGTTTCCGATTTGCTTTCCGGGTTTTGGTTCGGGCTGCAAGGTCCAAACCCTAAACCCTAAACCCGAAGGACAGACTTACTGCAAGATGGAATTAAGCCTTCAACAAAAACAATCCGAAGGACAGGGACCAACTCGACGAAATTGGCGCTTGAGAAGCTTCTGGGTGGTCCCTGCTACCACATGTTCGAGAACGGCATCAAGAAGGAAGGGTTTAGGGTTTAGGGTTTATAACACCCAAGGCCTTTTACACCCGAAATGCAGAGTTCTCGCAGACGACAAAAACCCTAACACCCTTATGGTACCCTGACACTACCACGCGTTTAGCCCTGTAGCATCACTCTTCCATTACCCTGATAGCGTCCCTTGTTCCCTGATAGTACCCTTTGGAGTAACACAAAAGCCCCCAACTCTCAATCCCGAAAGTCTGGAATGCTTGCATCGTCGTCCTCCTTCCCCTTGGGTTGTCCGAAAACTGTTTCAGTGTGAGTTTGTTTATAGCAGCTATTGCCAAGAACTTCTGCACCAACCACTCTTCAGCCTTAGCTCCTTGCACCCGGAAGCCCTGAAGCATGGACCCCGAAGCAGAAGTGGCAGCAGTGGTGGTAGCAGTAGTAGTAGTAGTAGTAGTAGTAGTAGTAGTCGTGGTGGTGGTGGTAGTAGTGCTAGTAGCACTGGTAGCGACAGGAGACCACTACTGCTAGTTTACGAGAAAAACAGTGTTGCTTTAGCTGACACTGCGAACAAATACCAGAGTTCGGCAGCGCGAGCGGCCAAAGGACTAGTTTTGAACATGTTAGATGTCAGTTCGACAGTAATCATAGAATCAATGCGAGGCACAGTATCAACAGTATGCACACGCTCAAACACCCCGCCTCGACAGGACTTCAAGCGGTGGCTGGATGCCTATGCCGGGAATCCTGATTGGGATGCGATCTTCACCCACCACGCCGCTGGCTCTGCCTGTCAAGATTGTAACCCCAAACCGTAAACCCTAAACCCTAAAACCCTAAAGCGCTAAAGCCCTAAAAGACCTTAGGCGTAGGGCTGGCGGGCGCCTGCTGAGGTCCTTCACAGGCTTGCTTTCTCTGGGTGTACGTTGGGCTGAGGGCTTCAATCGTTAACGACGGCCTCTGCGCGTTTAAATTGTAAATTCTCAGCAGTGCAACCCGACTAAACATCAAAACTCGGAATCAAGCCAAGGACGGGAAACAGTTCTACAAGGCCACCCTTGACTACCCTTCCTGTGGCCTTTACAGGGAGCTCATGGAGAAGTATCCCAAAGCGAAAGTGCCCGACTTGCAATCAATCGCTGTGTGAACGCAAAGTGAATGTTCTGGCTCTTTGCCCAGCTTCTGCTTCTGCTCAGGTGCTCCTGAACGTCCGGGATCCGGAGAAATGGTACGACAGCGTGATCGACACGATCTGGTCCCCGGAGTGCCCGGAGCAGAACTGGTCGGTGCGGATCTTCCAGGAAGGCCGGGACTTCCAAGCCCAGGCCCGCGCCTTTCACAAGGCAACGATGCTCCCCGGGGTGGAGAGGACGGATTTAGGGGTTTGGGGTTTTAGGGGTTTTAGGGGTTTTAGGGGTTTCGGGGTTTAGGGTTTAGGGTTTCGGGGGGTGGAAAGGACGGATCGCGAGGGCTCCATCAAGTCCTTCAAAGCTTGGATCGAGAAGGTGAAGGAGACGGTGCCTCCGGAGAGGCTGTTGGTCTTTGACGTCAAGGAGGGCTGGGAGCCCTTGTGCAAGTTCCTCGACGTGCCCGTCCCGAACGAGCCTTTCCCCAATGTCAATGACAAGGATGAGATCAAGGCAAGCTTCAAGAAGCTCCTGAGGTTCACATACGCAGCCAACGCGCTGTTGTTCGCTTGGTGCGTTGGCATGCTCGTGCTTTTCGGGTGGGTTGCGCGGAAGTTCATGGTCTAGCTACTCTCTTGAGAGACCTCTTTCAGCGAAATAATATAGGGGCCTTAATAATTAGAACAGGGTTTTGGGTAGTTTATATTATAAATGGGACCCTCAAACCCTATTCTAATTATTAAGGCCCCTATATTCCGTTTATAATATATAATACCCAAAACTCTATTCTAATTCTTAAGGCCCCTATATGATCGCCAGACCGCCAAAAAACCGGCGACAGGCTTGTAGAGCCAGCTGCCGGGGGCCACACTCAGAGATCGCAAAAAGGGGGGCATCTCACGGGAGCTCTTTTTCCGCAGAATCCGGGAGTCCTGGAGTCATGATGCTAGCAGCTACTGTACCACCACCACTACTACTAAAACTCGACCCGGAGAATCCGGGGGTCCTGGAGTAGTCAGCATCACAGAAACAGCCATGGTGTTACCATCATCATGATGCTAACACCACCAGTACTACTACTACTACTACTACTACTACTACTACTACTACCACTAGTACTACTACCACCACTGCTGGTGCTGGTGCTGGTGCTGGTGCTGGTGCTGGTACTGCTACCACTGCCACCACTGTTGCTGGCAATGCTGGGTCAAGGTGCCATGGGATGTGGATACTGACACTAAGCTTTCTATGGTTGAAACTATCTTTACGGCCCAAACAATGCATCCAATCTCAATAACAGCCATCATGAATGCAACATATCGGCATCATCCATGCATCCATCCATCGATCGATCTATCCATCTATCTATCTAAAAATTTCTCTCTTTTTATAGCGAAGAATACGCAGTTCCATGCCAGGTCTTGGCAACACTCGGTTTTGGTGTGAGATGGGAGATGGGAGATTTTCCCGCAAGGTGCAAGGTTCCTTAGGTAAGGATGCGTCTGTTTATTGTGGCCTCTAGGTTTTTCTTTGTTGTCTTTGTTGGCTCAGCGTTCCCGGATGCAGGATCTACTGATATCTACTCTCATTATGCTGGTGTCGTCGTTTCCATCAAGGCCTTAGCACTCGTCTCGAGTAATTAGTGGTGGTGATGATGGATGGTCAATGTCGTTATGTAAGACCAGCCAGAGGGAGTGTGAGCATCAGCATGAGCATGACGGTCATGATGAGGCTGATGACGAAGATGATCATGATAATGATCGTGATGGTGAGGCTTGTGGTGGTGCTGCTGATCTTCATGATGATACCGGCAGTGACGATAGCGATGGCGGTGATGACGAGAAGGAAGATATCTTTCATTCTACACTTCTTGTTTCTGCCAAGAAAACCATGACCATTGGTGTCACGTCTATAAGCACTGCTATTCGTTCCTGAAATGGAGCAAAGTGTCAGCCAGGAGCTGAGCGAGTACGAAAGGCTCGGGCGCGGAAGGGTTGAGTTGGATTTGGCAGTCGGCTTGGAGGAGCTTTTGTTTCGTGGCCTCTTCTGAACCAATGCGGTAGCAACTGATAGTAACTAATCCAGCATACAGAATTCCTTGGTAAGAGCTTCCCGCTATCGATGGGCTTATATTTACCGGCATGAGATGCCAAGCACATGCTGTAGCATGGCGAGTGGTATCAGCTGTATTTCAGAAAGGACGCGCTGATGATGTCGTTGGCGTCGTATCTGGTGGCAGTATGCTGGTACTGGTATAGAGGTAGTGGGGAGAAGGAGGCAGAAGGCAGGAGGCAGTAGGAAGTAGGCAGTAGGCAGGTGGTGGTGGTGGTGGTGGTGGTGGTGGTGGTGCTCGTGGTGGTAATAGAGCAGCGGCAGCAGCAGCAGCAGGAGTAGTAGTAGAAGTAGTCGTCGTCGTAGTAGTAGTAGTCGTGGTGGTGGTGGTTTTGGTTGTAGTAGTAGTAGCAGTAGCAGTAGCAGTAGCAGTAGTAGTAGTAGCAGTAGCAGTAGTAGTAGTAGTAGTAGTAGTAGTAGTAGCGTTAGTAGTAGCAGTCGTAGTAGTAGTAGCAGCAGCAACAGCAGCAGCAGCAGCAGCAGTAGCAGTAGCGGCAGCAGCAGCAGCAGCAGCAGCAGCAACAGCAGCAGCACTAGCGTCCTGTCCTATATCCCGTGTTTGCTGATACAATGTGGCGCTGAAGCCCCCGCAAAGTTGATCCTGCGTTCTTCGAGGTCAAAGACAGCCCAGGCCGTGCACTTAGCAAAGCGACAGCTCTTTGTTGGGTTGGAGCCTTGGGAGTTCAGGACTCCAAACTCCGTGGGCATTTAGTTCAAGCAAGTTCTCCATACCCGAAGTTGTGCAGATTTCGACTTGTATTAGCTTCTTCTTCCCCTGCACTGCTTGTCTGTGCAACTGCATATCCATCTGTCTGCGTGTCAACGCCTCCGATCTTTCGGTTTCAGTTCACCTTTATACAGTTTCTTTAAAGCGTATGTCTGTACGTGTAGGTTCGTGCATGTACAGACACATAGGCCGATGTACAATGTAAGTTAATTGCATAAGGCATCATAAGGCTTCATGCGTCCATGTAAACGCATATATATATATATATACATATATATATACACACATATATATATATATATATTTATTTATAATAGACATGCCATATTGCGCATACAAGGTGTGCACATAGGCACAGATGCAGATACCCGACTTCATGGATTAATATGTCTATAATTCATTGCATGCTCATGTGTGCAACTTGCACAATAATGATACATTTGGGGAACCCTATATAACTCTACTCTGAATACGCACCGTACAGTTTGGGAGCCCAAAAAGAGACCCTGATTTGGACAACCCCCGCTGCGTATGTTGGCATGCATGCATATATATATATACATATATATACACATGCACACACGTGAAAGTTAAGTTCACGTGTATGTATGCAGCTAAGCGGGTGGACATGTGTCCTGGCGTCTGCGTCTACATATGTACGTGCAGCCTTCCGCATGAGTGTGTCTGTGCGCGCAGTCGAAGGACAGTTGCGCATGTGCCTAGTATGTATGCATGCATGTATATACGTGTGCTTATATGGTTGTCTGGCTCTCTCAATATATATATATATATGTACATACACACATATCTATGACTTTTCAGAGACACACTCACTCATGTAATCTTGTAGTCTCTCTCCAATATTTACGTATACATCTACATGTATGAATATATACATATATGGAAACATATAATTTTGAGTATAAACGAATAAGTAGATATACGTACATATATATATATATATATGCGTGTACATGTATATGTATGTATCTATGTATTTGTATGTATGCACAGACTTGCAAGATATGTACATATATATATATATATATATGTACATACACATCCCTTCATGCATGCCTGCATGCATGCATGTGCACGTATGTGTGCGTGTGCCTGTGTTCATCAGAGGAGGAGCTCACGATAGGGACACTCACAAGATGCAGGGAAAGAGAGCGAAAGAGACAGACTGAGCGAGACTGCTCTAGACAGAAGATTAGCAGTCATGGTAATGTGACATGCGTAGATCAGGACCGTGCAGTGCCCCTCAAACCCCTTCCAGCACCAAGCGTCACAATCCTTGCGCTTAGTAGTCTTTCGCTGGAACGTCTGGGTCGTCGTGGTGTGTTGAGTCTCCAACACTCCCAGTTCTGCTCTGGAGTTGCCGCGGCCCTTGAGCAAAGCAAACCTGTAAACGCATTGTGTTGCGGAATACAGTCTTTCGCTTAACTTCTGTATTGGCCGCATTGCCAGAATGGTACAATATCCCCCGCATCAGTAGAGAGTACAACAGTCGAGTATAAATTAGGTCCGCGCTTCCCAGAGACAAGGACGAAACATACAGCGAAATGTAAAACATATATATCTGTTGCTCTCCATCCGTTTGTCTGTTTCTAGTCTATGTGTTTGTTTATGTATCTATCTATCTGTCTACTTATCTATATCTATATCTATATCTATCGATCTATGTCTCTAAGTAGCTATTCATCTGCCTGTCTATCTGTCTATCTATCTTTCTATCTGTCTGTCTGTCTGTCTGTCTGCCTATCTGTCTACCTATTTGTCTATCTGTCTTTCTGTCTAGCTATCTATCTGTCTATCTAAGTATCCAGACATCTATCTAGCTATCTAGCAACCTAGCTGTCGAGCTATCTAGCATCTAGCTTTCTATCACTTTCTCCATGTATCGATCCATCGATCTGTCCATCCATCCACCCCATCCACCCATCCACCCATCCACCCATCCGCCCATCCACCCATCCGCCCCATCCACCGATCCATCCGTCCATCCACCCAGCCAGCCAGCCAGCCAGCCAGCCAGTCAGCCAGCCAATCCATCCATCCATCCATCTCTCCCTCCGTCCATCCATCCATCCATCCCTGTCTCTCTGTCTGTCCGTCGGTCCTTCTGTCTGTCTGTCTGTCCGTCTGTCTCAATGCCTATCCATCTATCAGTCTATCTGCCTATCCGTCTATCTGTCTATCCGTCTGTCTAGCTATCTATCTGTCTAGCTAGCTAGCTAGCTAGCAAGCTAGCTACCTAGCTAGCTTTATCTATTTGTCTATCGATTTATTCTTCCGTCTATCCATCTATCCATGTATCCATGCCCCAAGCCTTAACTCTTAACCTCAAGCACTACAAAGTGGACCTGCGTGGATGAGGTGGTCGAGCTGACCAAGTCGGCAGCTGTCCTTGAGGCATTCTGGATGGTTTCAGAGCAGAAGCAGATACTCGCTCATCTTCTTGAGGATTTGGCTGGCGTAAGATGGGTATATCGATTTTCGCGGTTTGTAGCCGAGAGGTTGTCAGGAAAGTATGGAAACGTATGGTTCTTGCAGAGTCTTCTTTGTTATAGTGTGATTTATGCAAGAAGTAGCTTGGCCGTTTCATGAAGTCTGTTTGATTCTACGATTCCGGGGCAGTTTCGTGCTCAGGTTTCATTGTCCGGGTGTTAGATAATTTTCGCATTCATTTCGCGAGACCGCAATACCCGCCCCACCTGAGCCATAGACTTCCAAAAGCCATGGAAAGGACAACAGTAGAAATTGCACGTAGAATTAACACAAACTT